AAAACATGATAGTATATGAAGAACCAAAATATAGACAAAAGCAAAATTGAATACTTAAGTCCATTTTGTAACCAGCCTATTATAAATAAGCATTATTATTTTGGCCAACAGAATGGTGAGACTTTGTGTGAATTATAGTTATTCTACTACTTTTGTGGCTTTTGCAAATTATTGAAGTTCTCCAGACTACTTTTTCATTTATCCACTAATTTAGTTGATGTTCAGAACTGTTCACTCAATAATGTGAACTCAGTATTTAGAGCTTTTTGGGGCGGAGGAGTTTCAACATATATTACTTAATTAGAATATCCATTTCTAAACAAATTTAAAATTCCTAATAAATTGAATGTAAATGAATGCAGACAGGCAGGATTCCACTTAGCAGCAAAAATAGCTGGAATGAAATGTAGGCAAGAACACACAATGAAGGCAAAGACATACATATTGGAGACAAGAGAAAAGAATACATGTGAAACCAAGAATATTTTAAGATCCTCTCCAGATAGCATATTTGACACAAGTAGTCTTGATTTTCTTTTTCATCATTTCAAAGCAAATTTGGTAAAATCTTTAGTGATGAGAAAGTATATACTGTGTTTGTGAACTTAATATATTTGCACCATTCTTTTAAGACATTTAAATAGTTCAAAAACTTAAATGTCATTTAGCTAGCCTCTGTCTCTGAAAATACATGTAAACCATTGCTCCTATTTTATTTATTATATAAAATTTTATTTTGCTAATAATATTTCCAATATATTTAAATGACTATCATAAATTAATAACTTGTATCCAACACAGCCATAATATTAGATATAAGTCATAAACTAGGTTTCTAAAATTTTGTCTGAATAGCTAAGATTGGAAAGAAATAATTAAAAAATTACTTGGACATTCATATTTGTTTGAGAACAAAGTTGATTTCTAGAAGTCAGCCCTAACACTTGTGCTTCATGTAATTTTCGAAAGCCATAACTTGGTCACTCTGATCTGCTCCATAAAGAGTTGAAAATTTTTTGAAAAAATAAAGTATGTTCCCATCCTTTTGCTTTAATGTTGTTTAGAGTTTCTGGAATGTTTATCCTAGGAAATCATACTTACAAATACCCTACTTATGTTGTTCAGTTAGTCCCATCCTGTCATAAGTATTATTACACATTACTTTTCAGAAGAATTATTCATCCTGGCATAGTTTGTTAACATTCTTCCTTAACTCTTCCTTACAGTGAAGCATGCACAAATATCTGTGCATATAATATCAAAAGGGTGTTCTAAAATGCCACGTATTCCTGTAACTACTTTGAGACAGGTAACCACTGCAAATAAAATAAATGTAAGACCCGAGATAATGTTCTGAACGCAGAGCCAGGCACAGGCTCCGTAGTGCGTTGCCCTCTAATCACACAGTTTCTCACAGACTTGTCTTTCACAACACGTAGAATGCATGAGAAACGAGCAATGTCTGTTATTTAGTTTTCTGAAAAGCTGCTTTCCATGTGAGGAAGTGACTAATTTTTCATTTCACACTATAAAGGGCGTGAAAAGGCAAAACAGAAGAAGGAGAAGGGTTTTGTGTTATAAAAAGGAAAGGTGAGTCCCGCTTAAACAGACAGGAAACACCATACATATTCAGAGGGAAAGTCAAATTGGAAACATTTGAGAGCCCTAACAAAAAAATGAAAGCTGTTTATGTTAATGTTGTGAGGTTTTTTGTTTGTATTCTTAACGTGTGGGCAGCTTATCGTTAAATTATTAAAACAATGCTACTTGAACTACAACTATCATCACAGAAATGCAAAAAAGTATGTAAAGAAAAGATGTCAAAGAGTTCATTTAACCCTTTCCGTTGTCAAAATTTTGCACTTGTTCTGTTATTCAGCAAATATATATCCCCACTCCCACAACTGCCATCTACTTAATTCTATCTCCCTCTGTATTATATACTGTGTTTTCCTATTCGCTCAAATATAATCAATCAAATAATCCAATATGCAGGAGAGAATAAAGGCAGGAAATGGAAATAATATACAGATTATGATAAATACCTAAAAAAAAAAAGAGGCAATACATACTGAAACACCAAGGTTATAAATAAAATATGGTCATCCTTCCCATGATCCTTTAGAAAATTACTTTTCCTCAGACTTTTGCTGGCCATTTGTTATATCTAGATTTTATTTCTTAGCAGATGAATTACAAATTGTCAGCAACTTAGGCTCTAGTGAAAAGAGCTCCATTACATGTTGCCCACTTTATTTGTGATTGTTCTTCCTGTTCATGGGGATATGAGTTTTCCCCAAAGCCAGAATTTATGGCTGTCTTTCCTTCTGTCTCCTAATAAATCCCATCTGCATGGTTTCCCATTAGGTTGCAGTATACATCATAATGCTTCCCTTATTTTATTAAAATATTTTCCCATATCTTATTAAAATATTTATTAAGCATTCTGTCCCTGTAGAGCTCAGCATATATTCCAGAAACATAACCGACTTCTCCCTATGAGTCTGTTACTCTTGACAAGTCATATGGAATCCTGGGGGGAGCATTAATGCCCTTCAGTAAATCAAAGTTTCAGTGCACTAAATGTAACCCCTGTGGCCTGAGAGAAATAATGCACATCTCCAAATTCCTACACCATGCTCCAAAAATGAATAGCTCCTTAGGAAAGTTCCTGTTGGTAATTTCAGTTGTCTTAATTTGGATCTTCTTTCCAATTCTTAGCACAAGATAGCTAGCTCTAGAGTGGATTAGAATCTCTGTTCATAAGAACGTGGTTACACTGCATAGTCAACTCCATGCTTAGTGGGCATACAAGGGAATAAAGCACCTTAATACAAGATCAAATTTGATGCTTACTGAACTCAATTATTTATAGGACATAAAATTAAAAAACTCAAAACATAAAACATTTACAATTATAAAGCCTCTACTTTGAAAATAACTGATACTTGGCAAGTAGACATTTTGTTCTTGGAAAACTGGTTCAGATGAAGCATTTGCCCTTTCTTTTCCCACTTTCACCAGTCTATTCAGATTATTGTTCTTGTGCCTTAGCAAAACGCCATGAGAAGCAATTCTGAGTTAGTATAAGGGATTTACAAAATAGAAGACAGTATTTGTGCAGGAAAAGAATTCTTTTCGTTAAATTAAATAGAAAACTACGTGGCCATAGCTCTAGGAATCTAATCCAGGTCTCTGTGGTGTCTTCTATTTCGTTTCTTCTTCATTTCCTGCATGTGCTTCCACTTTGGGCCGCCCTTATTTCGCTGTCTCCGCTTCTCCCTGTGCCACATCTGTTCGCAGTACTGGTCCAGGCTGAAGTTTGGGCTGCTAAGGATTTGGATGTAGTCTTTGTATCTCAACCGTGACTCAGCCAATAGATCCTTGACCTGCCCTTCCTCATACTCTGCCCTCTGGGTATTTTCCATCTGTTCATTCTCAATGACATTCAAAGTCAGCTTCACTACGGTGTGGATGAAAGTGTGCTCCTGTGCTTTGCAGTAATACATCCCAGAGTCCTTCTTCTGCAAACTTCGAATCAGTAGCCCATATTCCGTTTTGATGATCCTTTCATCGGGTTTCAACTGCAGAATTGGAAAAAGTGTAGGTAATAAATTAAAAACAGAGAGGGTTATGAGCAGATGAAAACAGGCTATATAGTTTTACTTAGATGAACCTAAAAGATATATTTCCTTTCTCTCTGTCATCAAGTATAGTATTGCTAGTCATAGTCAAAGAGAATAAAAAAATTTCAACTAAAATAATAGTCCCCAAACTATAGCCTCAATTTTTCACATTTGTATCATATTAAATCTAACAGAACCTTTGGACTACAGTTAGGTTTTTTTCCCCCATTATGCAAGTATAAATGAAAAGCTGTGACAATTTATGAAGTAAAACTGAAAACTAACAGCTGATCTTTAAAGGGATTTCAGCTACTAATTAGTGTACAAAGATCATACTTTGGTGTCTCAAATTCAGAGCAAGACTGTAATGTTAACAATTATTGTGTGCAAAATAAGCTTTAGTGCATGTGAGTACCTGTAATGTAAAATAGAACAATGAATCCAAAAAGAATTTGCTAGTTTTCTAGGTATCACCAAATGATCTGAGTGGCATATGGAAGCTGTAAGTGGTGACTTGTTAAAAGTCAAGTGGAAAGGCATGGTTACAGCCTTCTGCATGTTCCAGCTGTAACTGAGTAGGACCATAGTCAGAAGGTTGGCAACATTGAAAGCTGAATTTCCCTTTATACTCTGGATTGAATTTTGATACTGTGAATATATGTGATACCTTACACTATGTCATTTGTGGAAATATTTGCCATACCTCGGTGTACTATAACATGGTAAAGTAATTTCAAGTGTGAGAAAGCACAATGAACAAAACGAGCCTCCTCTGCAATGTGATGCTCTTTACCCTTTGAAGCAATATTATTGAAAGACAATTGAAACATGAAGCTTGCCTGGCCCACAATCTGGTGTGAATAGTGAACCTATCTTCAGTAAAACTGGAAGCATGTTTACCGACAACAAGGGCCTTGTGTAATGTGGAATATTGTTGAGTGGCTCGGCGTTAAGTGGAATAGCAACAACAACAAAGAAGTCTGGAAGATTTCCCAGTTTACACATCTGCCTCTGTATTGTGGACTTTTAGTTGATGAAAATCAAGGAGGCTTAAAGACAGCTAAATTAAATTTATTCACAGTGGGTGGACTATACTCTGCATTTTTATGTGAAAAATATGTAGGAAAAAAAAAATCCCTCCGATTCTGGAAATATGAGAAAAGGAAAAGAAACAACGCTGGCTACCAGCCCAGTTAACTAACAAGTATATGGTAAACCACCCTCAGTGCCAGAGAAGTGCAGCTGGCGGGGTACCACTGCAGGCCAAAGGAAGGTCACAGCTCAGATCTCTGGTTAATGAGGCAGAATGGTCTCCAGCCCTGCCTGTACTCTGCACTGAATCCACACCATCAGGGTTTTGTTGGTTGGTTTGTCCATTTCCCTTACTTTGACCATTTGGAGAGCTGGATGTTTCCTATCCTTTTTCTGGTGGATTATTCTGAAGACCTATACAGTTTCACATGCTATTGTAAAACAAATTAACCTTGATTTCAATTGTATTCTCAGAAACCATTGGAGTTTCATGCCCAGATAAATAAGAAGCTGAATTGGTAGGACCAATTGTAAGCAGAAATGGCAATCTCAAATTTAAAACACTTACATATATAATTATTTTCTTGAAATAAATTTCACTGTAAGAGTTATTTTTGAAGATTTAAATACATCTTAGATCTCGAACTACTGGCTTCATAACCTAGATTCTGGTCTCTATCTGTACAGCTTCCTGTGATAATTCATTTATCTTTCCAATCGGTCTCCCATTTATCAAGTTGGTGGAATAGCATATGGTGCATTGGGTGGATAAAAGCAAAGCTCTTGGAAGGTTAACGTGTAAGGTATTATTAGCAACATTACTGACAACTCCCATGTTGCTTGAGAGGTAATATTCTGAAGCCTTCCTTTCTGTAATTCCCTTAATAGAAAATGGTCCAAGGTTATTAGCATGACAATCAAAGCAAGTAATTTGAGTTCCAGTTCCTCTCTAAATTTCCTTTGCATAAAGGGGTATACATAATGGGTATTCCTGATCATGTTTAAACTGCATTTAATGTGACATTTAGAGAGATTGTCACAGCTCTGACTCAGTACTTTGTATTTTTTTTTAAATCTTCTGACAGGAAAAAAAAAATTATGATTTGGATTTTAGACATATTGTCCAACACTTCATCATTATTTTTGTTATTTTCTGTTTGTGTACTGTTTATTTTGCTTTACTCTGAGATCTGGTTCCCTCTCCTCCTTTTCACACTCACTCTGTCCCACAAGGACTCAGAAATTCAGAAACACTGGGCCTTTCATTACTAGGTCATGATCCTTCATCTTTGTTCTTTCATGGAATGCTTAATTCGTTCTTTGCTTCTTGCTGTATAGATATAAAAGTTGCTCTAATAAAGATAATATTTTCTGGATTTACCTCATGTCTCTTAGAGCACTTAGCCCAACGTTATTTCTTTCTAAAATTTCAAAAATATGCCTTTAGTGAAAAGGCATCTCTAATAAAATACATTTCGAATTGGTATGTTTTTACAGAATTCTTGCAATTTGAAGATAAAAATCTGTGACCTGGAAACGAAGTATTTGATTAACATTTGCCTGCTTTACATTTTCATTCTCTGTAATGCTTTCATACTATGCTAGAATAGGATGCATTATGCAAAGTGTATCTCGACAGCGAAATGTCAGCACAGTCAATTTAGACAATTCAGCTCCTCTACAGAGAGATAATGTAATCGCTAGCCACTGATTTAAACTCATGGAATTTTCTACACTTCAGAAGTGATAAGTAAAAACTGCTCAACCTTACAAATCAAAGCCATGCTTGAACTGGGGTCGACTATCCATTTGCTTAATGTGAACAAGGATAATATATTTGGCATTATTAAATGTAGATCTTCAGTGAAGGGCCATTCATTTAAAATGAGAAGAGCAACATGGAAGGGACAAAGGACATTTGGGTACTAAGCAGCAGGTAAAGGTCAGGGACTTTATCTCTGATAATAGCAGCCTAATGGCAATTCTTTGTTCAGATAATTCACCTGTCAGTTCTTTCATGTTGAAACATTGCATGTGTCTTGGGAGAGATTGACACTTCAAGAATATCTCCTTTCTCCAATAAACAGAAGATATTACTAAGGGGAAATTAGTATTAAATAAGGAAGAAGGGGCCTAGAGTGAAAAAAAAAATCTATAATACTCTTATAAGACTTTCTCAGTACTTAACATAAAGCACTAAAAATTAACTAATTTAATACAGGGGAAAGAAAAAAAAGAGACACTAGAATGAAATAATTATATTCTTATTTTTAAATTTTTCACAGTATATTATTCTATATATGACCCATTTATTAATATTTCAAAAGAACAATTAATAACACTTCAGACAAATATTAGGAAAAGGGAAAATTTACTAAAACTTATATTCTAGCAGCTAGCTTGCTAGTATATTAAGTAAAAGAAAAAAATCATATTTATACACAAAGATCTCTTAGAATAATTTAATTTCATTGAGTGAAGGTACATATAAAAAGTACAGTGAGGGCAGCCCATGGTGTGGTGGTTAAGGTGATTAAGGCTGACTGCACAATTTAAATCTCAGACCTGGCTTGAAAACATGCCAGGTACAGCTGCATGCATGCCCAAAATCCTGAGAGGAGAGAAAGATGGAAGAAGAGGGATTGCTGCATGACGACAGGAGTGCTTTTTCACTTTCCCTTTCTCTCTCTCTCCCATTCAGTCTCTCTCTGGCAAGCACATACCCTCTGATAAAAACTTTTAAAAAATGTAATGTAGGGGTCAGTGGGTGGCATGGTGATTAAGGTGCTGGATTCCCACATTACCAACAGCAGTTCGAATCCTGGACCTGGCAGCTTGAAAATTATGACAGATACATTTGCCCAAAATCTTAAGAGGAGAATGGAGAAGAAGGTATTCTGGTATGGCCAGCCTCCCTGGGTGGGTGGGGGGGATTTCTGACTTTCTTTCTTTCTGTCTCACTCCAGTGAGTGCATACACCTTATGGCAAAAATCTAAAATACATAAAGTATAAAATGCAAAAATAAAAATCATAAATATCTATTAAAACATATTGGGAAAAGAATCTTATTGAGGAAGGAGTCTCTAAACAGATGAGAAATCAAGGAACTATAAATCAAAGATATGCCTCAGAAAATATAATACTTTTTGGAGAAAAATAAGGAAATGTTAGAAATGCAAAAATTAAGTCATATAACACACATTGCTTATATCTAACATTAAATTATTAATATGTATAATATATAAAGGGCATATTAAAATCACTTTACAGGGACCAGAGGATGGCAAAATGGTTGTGTTGCTGGATTCGCATGTAGTTGACTGTGGTTCAAGTCCCATATCCAACAGCTTAAAACTCATGCTGGACCTGTGTGCATGCATGTCCAAAGTCTCAAGAAGAGAATGGAGAAGAAGGGATTGAGGTGTGGTCATCCCCTCTGGGGGCTGATTTCTTGCTTTTTATCTCTCTGTCTCTCTTTCTCTCTCTGACAAGTACATGTGCCCTATAGCAAAATCTCTCTTTAAAAAATCATTTTACAATAAATATGTCATTTACACTAAGCAAATGGCAGGCCATGTAATTCACCAAACATACCTGAAACCAATAGCCAAGAAATATGAAGGTAATTTCACAACCACTAATATTTCAAGATATATGAAGCACATATTAAATATCAAACTATTAGATCCAGCAGTTGGTGTAATGGCTATGTTGCTGGACTCTATGTAGTCAACCACGGTTTGATTCTCAGACCCGGTGGTTTAAACACATGCCAGGTGCAAGAGATTACTGTGTGACCAACCCCCTTGAGGAGTGATGTCTTGCTTTCTGTCTCTCTATCTCTCTGTGTCTTTCTGGTGAGAGCATGCGCCCTACAGCAAAAACCTCTCAAAAAGAACAAAACAAAGCAAAACAAAGACTGTTA